TAATATACTCATATATTTACATATATTCTAGCTCATCACAATGCACACATGCGCTATGCCCCTTCCAGTAATACATGTTCTAAGCTTCTATGTTAAATTAATGTTAAAATCATTACTTACTTCCCAAAGATCGCACTCTTACAACCAAGTCCTCCCAAGTAATATTTTTCTTCTTAATCATTTTTTCCATCATGTGGCACATTTTATGTTCCTCTTGCTACGGGCCATCGAATGATCACCCTCCGAGTTTAGGAGGTGACTCAAATCTGATTCTGTATTTTCCTTTTTTAACCACGCTTGAAAGCCCACTTGAACAGGTTTATGTCTCTCATTAATACTGCACGACGAGAACCTTCTCATCTGACAATTTTGTTTCCACAGCACTTTTTATATTAGACATGATTACTGCACTTATTCACTCTTCAAATTTCCACGATGCGTATATATCAACCGGTAAAAATACCACAATTGATGCAGATATTGTAAAACAGCGTGGCTTGACAATAGAAAATATCGCAATATCGCGATAACCAGTATAACGCATCACACGCGGTCACGCAGATGATAATCCTGTGGCGGCAATTGTTTTTTCACTTACAAGAAAATTCATGTCCGCGCATGGATACTGAAGAAAGCGTGGCGCGCTATGCAGTACCGTATACGTAAAATAAACGGCACACTCGGGCCCTATGGGCCAATGCTCTGACGCCACTTGTTAGCATTAGCAAGCTATACGAGCCTGAACGAGTCAATTTCAACGTAATTCAAAATTATTAATTAATAGTTGCTTTTATATTAAAAGAAATGTCACGCCGAGGTCCATACAAACATACCTTCAAGATTTAAATATTCCTATCCCCGACACAACTCTTCGTCGTCGACAAGTTATTCAACGTAATGAGGTTAATAAACATTATAAATTTTCTTAAGTTAAAATTGACTACTAAATTCTTTATCAATGCGTTGATGAATGATTGATGTTGGTTATTATTTGATATTTTTATTTCTTTTTATTTTATTATAATTGGTTTTATATCATTTAGAAACTGGTCGCCTAAAATATATAATGGATAGATTTTCTCAATCATATCATTTTAAAAATATTGAATTCATCAGTTAAAGTAATTGAAAACATAAGGAATCAATAGTTATTTTATTAAATTTATCGAGAAAAAGAATAAATATTTTAACGATATATTAATAAGTCATAAATAATAATGAAAAATAAGGACGTCGAAATAAAACTAGCTTAAATTTACTTTTACAATTTTGAAATATTAACAATTTAAAATAAAATATTTCTATTTATCAATTATTTATATCAATTATATATTAGTTTTATACTATTATTATTTATGAGTCTTATATTAATATCATTTATTATAATAAAATAGGTGATTTTGTAGGATTAGGATATAAAATAGGTATCAGCATTGATTAAATTTGTATAACTACAAATTAATGTAATACAGAATAAACGAAAAACATTCTTCAATAAACTTTTTTAATTTAACAATTTAAAATAAAATTGTATAATGATGTTATATTATCAGTTGTAGAAATTGAAAAGAAATTTTAAATAATTATATTTAAAAAACTTATTTTCAGCATGCACTATCGGATAACATTGATGAACTTATGGACTGGGATCCTAGTGAAAGATATTTTGACAGTAGGGAGAATTCAGAATGCTCTTTTAACAATGAAGATGAATTCGAACAGCAGAGCCTTGAACAAAGTGAAGAAAGATTGTATTTCACAATGCAAGAAAGTGATGATGACAGTAAGGAAGGAATAAGCCTACATAATAGTGATTACATTGACACTGATTCAGAAGATAGTAGCATTTCTGATAATGATGGCACTGTCTTCGAAGACTTTGTAGATGATGAAGACATATTTCAAACAGAAAATTTTGAACATATCAATTCAGATAGGAAACCCTTATATGAGGGTTGTGACATTACAAGAGAGGAAAGTGAATTATTAATTATGACCTATGCTATGCGTTTTGGACTGTCTGATATTGCCCTTCAATCTCTTATAAATCTCATAGATTGTCATCTTCCAAGACAGGAACATAAATCATTACATTTACTCATTCAAAAATTTCCTAAGCCACCTAATATAATAACACATTTCTTTTGCTCTGGTTGCAAGAGTTTAGTTAATTTCTTGGAAACAAATAAAGTAATTTGCAGTTGTGGACTGATATGTGTAATGGATGATTTAAAGTCGCAGCAATGCTTTTTTATTCAAATTCCATTACAAGATCAATTGATTCGGCTACTTCAAAATGATCGTATACATTCCATGTTTCAAGAAGGATTTATAAGTGGTCAAAGCGATGTTCACAGTGGCGAAGTATATAAAAGATTAATACAAGATGGTATTATTTCAGAAAAAGATCTCACATTACAGTGGAATACTGATGGAGTACAAATTTTTAAATCATCTAAAGTAAGTTTATGGCCTATCCAGGTAGCTGTAAATAATTTGCCTTTTCAAGCTCGTAAAGAAAATGTTTTACTCTGCGGATTATGGTATGGATCTAAACCTGACATGAATATATTCTTGAAACCATTTGTTGAGGAACTAAGTATGCTACATAATGAAGGATTAGAGTATGTCGTTCCAGGCTCTGAAGACAAAGCTAAAGTAAAAGTTCACACTCTCATAGCCTCAGTTGATTCTCAAGCAAGACCATTGCTTCAGAAATTAAAAACATTTCGAGGTAAACAAGGCTGTTCTTTTTGTCTGAATGAAGGAGAGGAGTGTGAAGTTGGTCGTGGAAGAGCAAGGATTTATCGTGGTGATATAGGACAATTACGAACTCACGAACAACATGTGCAAGATACCAAAACTGTCATGCAAACTGGAAAGGTTAAAATGGAATAAAGGATGCATCTGTCCTTCTTCTGCTTCCCTTATTTAATATAATAACATCTTTTGTGCCTGATTACATGCATTGTATTTTACTTGGTGTTGTAAAAACTATGGTGGAGTGGTGGAAAAATGGAGAAAATAAGAAGGAACCTTTCTATATCGGATCAGACATTAAGCTAAAACAAATTGATGCCATCCTTTGTTCTATTAAGCCACCAAGTGAAATTACTAAACTCCTCGGTCCATTACAGAATGTAAACTATGGAAAGCTTCTGAATGGAAAAACTTTTTATTATATTACTCTTTGCCGTGTTTACATAAAGTAGAAATGCCAAGAAAATATATCGAGCATTGGTTTCTTCTTGTATGTAGTGTACATATTTTTCTACGTGAAAAAATTTCATTAGAGGATTTCTCTATTGCAGAAAGGTGTATACGACAGTTTGTTTTAAATATAGAAGACGTATACAATGCACCTCAACTTATGAAATTTAATATTCATTTACTTCTCCACATTCCTAAAAGTGTAAAACAGTTTGGAGCTCTGTGGGCTGTATCTTGTTTTCCATATGAACATTATAATGGTACATTAGCCAAGATGTTTCGGAGTTCTCAAGCAGTACCCCTGCAAATTTGTAAATTTTATTTAAGACTTCAATCTCTTAAAGAAAAGGGTGCAGAACTTTTCTTGTCAAATAATAATGCATTATTTGCCAAACCTTTGTACGAAGCATTGACTTTTCGAAAGCTTACATCTAATAACTGCGTAGCATATGGTGAGCATATACGATTATTTGGTAAGCCTGATTATATTACGCTAACATTAACTCAAAAAGTTGCTGTGGAAAACTTTTTAAAGGAAAACATACAAAATCAGCAAATTCACTTGTTTCGTAGATTTATTTACAAAAATATTCTGTTTCATGTGGAAGGATACGAACGCATGAAAAGACGCATTAATAATATTGTTTATTTACAAATAAAACAGTAATCTCCATATCACATGTACTTATAGTTAAGACTCTTCAATCTAATCAGATGAAATGCATTTTATTAGGTATGCGTCTTCACTTAATAAATGATATTGTTTGTCAAAATCGCTCAATCAATGTCTCTTCTAACATTTTCTGTAGCATTATGGAAATGACTCCTGAATGTATGGCTATTTTTCCCCAAATGATACAGTGCAAATGCGTTGTAACACCATATGATAGCAAATTATGCGTATATCCTCTAATTAATTCTTTAGAAAGAGACTAAGATAGATACACTTCATAAAATTCCTCAACAAATGATTTCAAGTATAAGAGTTAAAACAAGTTTAATTAAACAAAAGTATAATTTTATTAGAAATATTTATGTTCTGATGTACTCTCTTAATAAAATTTAATATATTTATTCAATCTTAACATTTTTTCAATTATTAATATATCTTGTCATTGTATTATTTTATGTCAAGAGAAATACATTTTATGTTTTCAGAAAAATTTGACCATTCTTTTTTTTCAACCTTAATTTCATCATAATTGCAACAGCTGATTAGATTCAATCATTTATTTCATGTTATAATATTAGGTTTATATTTTTATATATTAGGTTTGTACAATTATTATCTCAAAATTGTATTAATTATTGTAGAAATAGGTTGTGATATTTAAAAACTTAAGAACAGTAAAAAGACATAAGTTCAGTATTTCAGTATTTACCCCAGTAGTTGAATCCCCTTTTTACAAGTACTTAAGTACTACACCAAGTAATGAATTACTAGAGAAAATACTTATTTATCCTATTAGTACTTTATGTCTGAGCTGAACTACTGTATCCCTCAGTACTTCGGTATTTTACCATTACATATGCAAGTATTGAAGTACTTGCACCAGTACTTCAGATTCCAGAATAAATTACTAAAATTACTAGCTATTACTCATAGGTCAGTAGTTGAACTATTAGAGTACAAGAATGAAATACTAATCACCAGTAATAAATTACAATACTTCAGTAATAAATTACTGACCAACCAGTAATACTTTTCTATAAGGGCAGACGATTTTTAATAATAAAGAAAGAGGAGAGAATTGACCCTCACAGTCTAGAACGGGTTCAATTGCTCCCTTGTTGTAGAGGTTGGTAATTTCTTGGTGACAGATCTGCTCCTCTCCTGCCGAGAAATGCGTTGAAGGCTCGATAAACTGACGAGGCGCGTGAGATGTAAAAGGTAACTTATAACCGGTGATAGCTTGCAAAATCCTTGGATCTGAGGTGATTTCTCTCCATTTACTAAGAAAATAGGATAGTCTGCCGGCTATATTTACCTGTGAGTCGCTTAGCGTCTCCTGAAATGTGAGCATTGGTGATAAGCTGATCGGCGGCTGCTGCTCGAGGCCCCTGTTCTCTTCGCTGGTGCCGATCTCGCTTTCGAGACAAGGGCGCGAAAGTTTTCCGACCTGGAGGACTTTGGACGGGCCGGCGCTTTGATAGGTTGTTGTACCCTTCTTGAGATTGCCAAAGGTGTGTTTACAATCTCCTTGGCGGCTTTCTCCATCGAGGTTGCTTTTTTAATTTTTTCTCCGAACGAGGAGCCAAACAAAAATTCGCCTGCCGAAGTAGCATCTGCTGTGGATCTAGCCAAGAAATTAAAGGTTGATCTAATCGATGATCTTCTAGCGATGGAGAGGCAATAAAAGAGATCTGCTAAAACCTTTGTGCCCTCACTGAATGTGGTGACCGCCTGCCGAGCTTCGAGGGTGAGAGTGTTCTGTATCTCGGGTTTGAGAAGATTTGAGAATGCTTTCCCAAATGCAAAAAGGGCTGTGCCCAATTGGTCCTGATTGATGCGATTATATTCATCCTTCTTGGTGACAATGTTATTTTTCAAGGCTGATTTACACTCTGGATGAGCTTGGGAGCTCTGAGAAAGGCTAGTTCGTTAGAAGGAGAATATTTTTGAGTAGAGCGTCTTGTTGATTGGTTGCAACCCTTGAGGATAAGATCCTGTCAATTCTGTAAAACGAGGTCATTCCAAGGTCGAGCATCTGTGTCTTCCGGTCTCGGGCCGAAAAGCTCCCACGAGAGAGTGTCCGCCGAGATCTCGTCTAAGTCCCCGGACGCGAGCGCCTCGGATTGTGTCAATCCCGCCGGTTCAACCAACGCGGGCTAGGGGCAGAGTCCCTATTAGATGGGATGCCTATTGTCTCTGTAAGACAAGAAAAGATATTCCGATTAGTCGGAAAGAGTTGTGTCGAATCCTGTGGATATTTGTACACACTTGTCTCTGTATAGTAAGAAAAAATATTCCGATTAGTCGGAAAAGATTGTGTCGATTCCTGTGGATTTTTGTACACACCTGAGACGTGCGAGGAACTCAATTCCTGGCCTATGTTAGTACCCTCTGAAGAAATTTCTTCCATCGATGCTTCTCGAGAGCGAGAGGAGCCGGGTAATGAGGCGGGAGGGGCCTGTGGCGCCCTAACCTGCTTTATCGTTATCACGTCGATGAGACGAGACATCTTCTCCTCAAGCGACGATAGACGATCCCCGTTGAGGAGTGCTTTCTCTTTCTCGATTTATGTGCGGATTTACCCATTTTGCTAGAAAGGAACACTAAAAAATATCTAACTTTTTCACGAGTAAACACACTGCCTGTCAAGGGAACGCAGAACAGGAAAAACATAAGACACCTAGGTGCGCGCGCAGCGTGGACGCACGACGCGCGCGTTTTTTCTTTTAAAACGCCTGTTAGGAGCGCGCGGGAAGCGCACTACACATAATCCATCCGGACGAGACGTTGCATATTTTTCCATTTTGGAGCATAGCCAACACCGATTACATTTTTTTTACTAGTTCCGTAATATTCCAATCGGGTCGAACACTCAGATATGTACGTTTAATTTTTTTTAGAATGTAAAAATCTTCTCTCGACCGTACTGGCAAATATTATTTATTCAATCACAACGTTTCGATCCTTCTTTGAATCCTTATCAAGTGATCTAGATATACATAGACAGAGATTAATACATTAAAAAACAAAATTACTTCACTAACAATATTACAAAATGATAAAAAAAGAAGCGAGACTTACATGTAAAATTAAAAAAAAATTATATTCTAAGATGTCAAAAACGAACATAGTGTTGGTTTGACAACACGTCAAGACTCTTAGACGAATTATTGGAGACTAAACGACCTTTATTATTTTGTCGTAGATATTACTTAGATTGTCAGTATCCTTTTGTAAATTAATAGCGTTATTATTTCCCTTAATAAAGACATTTCAGCGATCTCTCTTTTTCTTACGTGCTTTTCACTATGCAAGATAACAGGTGAAGTCCAGTCAAAATCGTGATCGAATTCAATTTTATGTTCGCTGATAACTGATAAATTACTCGAATGCATTTTGATGTTGTTGAAATGTTCCTTACACGTGTACAAAGATGTCTCTTTTTTGTCCGATGTATGACACGTTGCAATCCCTACAATTAATTTTGTAAACTATTTCAGTTTTTTTTATCTGTAGGCAGTCTATCCTTGCCGAGTGTGATTAAAAATGATTCGGTTTTTTAGGAACATTATGAACAACATTAATCCGATATTTTTAAAAATTCGATCGATATCGCCTAAGCTATTAACATAAGGTAGTGAAATGAAAGGAGACTTATCAACAATATTTCGCTCATTACTCGATTTATTCGTGTTTCTGTGTTTTAAAAAATTAATCCTTTTTTTAACCCAACGATCGATTACATGTTTAGAAAGCAGTTATTAAATAAAATCTGTTTACATATTAATATTCTCGTCGTGAAACTGGTCATTAGATAAAAGAATCGCGTGATCTACAAGATTAAAAATTGTGTTCATTTTATATTTAAATAAAATCTGTTTCACAATATTAATATTCTCGTCGTGGCTACATGTGTCGTCTAAACATGTAATCGATCGTTGGGTTAAAAAAAGGATTAATAATATAATAGTACCTCTATAATAATATAATATTATAAATAAATATTATGTAATATAATCATTTTTTGCAATAAAACAAAAGCTCGAATGGGCAAGAGCCGGAAGAGGTCGAGAACGCGGACGCGAAAACATATATAAATTATATTACCATGTAATATCTAACATTTCTTCTTAAATAAATTTTTTTTGCAAAAAGTGCTTCACCACTTATATTATAAAATAATATAATAAAGTAATAATCTCTCTCTCTCTCTCCTCTCTCTCGTCTCTCTCTCTCTCTCTCTCACTCTCACTCTCACTCTCACGCTCACTCTCACTCTCACTCTCACTCTCACTCTCACTCTCACTCTCTCTCTCTCTCACTCTTACTCTTACTCTTACTCTTACTCTATCTCTCTCTCTCTCTCTCTTTCTCTCTCTCTCTCACTCTTACTCTTACTCTTACTCTTACTCTATCTCTCTCTCAAAATTAAATCTACTTACATTATGCTGATTTGAACTGCATGTATTTTCGCTGCTCTCTTTAGACATCTTGGTTAAGCCTTATTATGTGTCACATTGATTTAAAAAAAGTTGAAGGAAATGTATGTATAAAATAAGAATATTGAATTTAAATGTTACTATGGTCAAGGCATACAAATTAAAGGTTTATTTACATGAATTGCACACATAATCACTAACATGTCACAAATTTTTTTAAAATTACTTATTGTGTGATTTTGTAAAAATCACTCCTTAGGAGTGAGTTTCGATTTTTTATCGTGAGTCATTTAATAAATGATTATATAAGTTGCTGGTTTCATATTAAATTACGTTAAATGTCATAACAGATAGATTAAATAAAATAGAAAATATTATAATATGAAATTAGTACAACAAAAAAGGAGTCGAAAGACGTAAAAGTTTACGAAAAAGGAGTTAGTGATAAACGAAGTTAAAACGTTGAAGAGAAAGAGTGAAGGGAGAGAGAGAGAAAGAGAGAGAGACGGTAGAAATTTTACATCTTTATATCTATAAGTATTTGTAATAAATGTGTTTAAATATTTGTAATTATTTTATAATAATTACACTTTTATTACATTTACTTATATAAAAAATATATATATAAATAGAAAAATATATAAATTATATAAAAGGCTGCTGTGCGCCTGTAAAAAAGCTGCTGCGCGCCTGTAAAAAAAGGCTGCTGTGCGCCTGTAAAAAAGGCTGCTGTGCGCCTTTGAAAAAAAGGCTGCTGTGCGCCTGTAAAAAAAGGCTGCGGTGCGCCTGTAAAAAAAGGCTGCTGTGCGCCTGTAAAAAAAAGGCTGCTGTGTGTTTATACAAAGAATTAATATAAAACAAATAAGCCGAAAAAGAAAAATTCCATCAAGAAAATCGATGAATTAATGAATAATAATTCTGGTCATACAGACAGACAGACGGTACTTAATATATAGATAGATAATATAAATATAATTATTACGGTTATATATTTATAATATACCTACGTATACGCCGTATACGGTACGACACAGATAAGTATGCCTCAAAAGAGAAAAGGCGGAAATTTATATAAAATCAGTCGCGAAAGCAAGCGCTTACGACAAATACGAAAAATTGAGAGTTCGGAGGAAAGATGCTCAAAGAAATTATCAGCAGAGGGTCAATGAAAATAATGACGCAAAGTCTCAACGACTTGAAGCTGATGCCCAAAGACATGCTCAGCAGAGGGCTCATGAAAATAATGACACAAAGTCTCAACGACTTGAAGCTGATGCCCAAAGACATGCTCAGCAGAGGGCTCATAAAAATAATGACGCAAAGTCTCAACGACTCGAAGCTGATGCCCAAAGACATGCTCAGCAGAGGGCTCATAAAAATAATGACGCAAAGTCTCAACGACTCGAAGCTGATGCCCAAAGACATGCTCAGAGAAGGCAACAAGCTAGACAATTAAATCATCATATTGCGCTAATTGCTAAGGGCAATGAAATAAATGTATCAGTTCATACACTTGGCCAAATGAATATAGAATGCCAATTTTGCAAATCGTTAAATTTTGAATGTGAAAAACCTAAAGATGGGAAATTTACATATTGTTGTCAAAAGGGTAAGCTTACATTAAAGTCAATAAATTGTCCTGATTTTATTAAAAAATTATACATGGGAAATGATTATGCATCGAAAAATTTCCTTCATAATATTCGTTCATATAATAGCGCTTTAGCTATGGCTTCTATGGGTGTCCCGGGCAATAGAAATCCATTGGATGTTGTGAACAATGCTCCTTATTGCTTGAAGATTCATGGGCAATATCATCATTTGACTTCGACAGCAATGCGCCCAGCAGATGGGCAAGCTCCGCGCTTTGCGCAGCTTTACTTTTTAGATATAGAAGAAGCTATAAATCATAGAATGAATAAGAAAGCTAATCAAGAGTGTGATTTTGAAATAATGAAAAATTTGTCAAGTTTTATGGTTGAATGCAATGAATTTGCAAAGACTTTCAAGATAATGCGTCAAGTTGAACAAGATCTTAATTCGATAGGGAATAAAAATATAAATTTAATGTTGTCCTTTCGAAACGATCCTCAACATGATCAAAGAAGATATAATGCTCCGCAAACTAATGAAATAGCTGTGGTCTTTCAGAATGTAGATGGTGAGCCTCCATTTGAAAGAGACATTCGGATTTATAATAAAAATTCAAACGATGTTCAACAAATATCAATTCTGGACAAAAGGTGTGACCCAATGTGTTATCCTTTGTTATATCCATATGGTAACGATGGATGGCATTCAGAAATGAAATCTTATAATTCTAAATATTCAGGATTTAAAGTAACTCAAATGGATTATTATGCTCATCTACTGGCATCAAGAGCCGAATTTAGCCAATTTAAAAGAGCAGGCAAATTGAGATGTCAATTTATACTTGATGCCTATATGAAA